AATGAATGAATGAATGAATGAATGAATGAATGAATGAATGAATGAATTCTTTATTGGCCAAGTATGATTAGACCCACAAGGAATTTGTCTTTGGTGCAAATGCTCTCAGTGCACATAAAAGAAAAAATACATTCGTCAAGAGTCAAGAATCATCAGGTGCACCACTTAATAATAGTCACAGGGTACAATAAGCCATCAAATCAGACTAGGAAACAGTCCATATAAATCGTAAGGATACAAGCGACAAAGTTACAGTCCTACAGTCACAAGTGGGAGGGGACGGGTGATAAGGAGTGATGGGAGGATCAGTAGTAATTTTGTTCTATTATATTTATTAATTTGATTCTTTTTGTTAGTTTTTATGTTTTGGTTTTAAATACGGTTTTACATTCTGTTAGCTGCCTCGAGTCGCCATGGGCGAAATTCAACAAATAAGCAAATCAATAAATTTTCATTGCTTTGTCCCTAAATATTTTTTTTTAATTATTTAGTTAACTTTTTAAAAAGTAAGAAATGCCATTTTTTTTTCTCAAGGGATCAGGCCGTCAGCAAGCAGGTTGGCAGCCGTGCGGCAAATTTGCTTCCCCTACCCTAATAAAACAAGAAGAAAAATAAAACAGGAAAAAAGCGTCAGTTGAAGCCAATAATTTAACAGCTGGTTCTCTGCCCTAGTGATTTCTTCCAACAACCAGTTCACCAAACGGCTCAGAAACCAGTTCTCATGAACCGGTGCGAACCGTCTGAATCCTATCCCTGAGCAGAGTTCTCCAAACTTGGCAACTTTAAGACTTGCGGACTTCAACTCCCAGAATTCTCCAGCCAGCTGCAGACCGCAAGTCTTAAAGCTGCCAAGGTTGGAGACCCCTGTCCTAAAGTGACTGGCTGAGGGCTCAGCACGGCAAATCATTTTATACAAGTGGAAAACAACTTCTGATTTGAATGAGCAGATTCAGGATATGAGTCATTTGTGGGGGGGTTTTCAAAAGTCCTAAAAAAAAAAAAAAAAAAGCGCAACCTATTTCTATAGATTTAATACCCAGATGTGAATCATGCAATTAATGTTACGTCGCTTATATTTGTTTGCTGTTTGGCATTTTGCTCTCTTTATTTGTTAATCGGCCTTTTTTCTTTCCCGATGCTGAGTTTATCTTAAACGCAATATGTTTTTAGACATTTATTTCTTCTTTGGGGAAGCATTATTGGTGGGTTGGTTTTTTGGGGGGTGGGTGGGTGGGTAATCATTGTAGAAGTAATCCTCAATTTACATCCCCAATTGTTCCAAAAATTCCTGTTGCTAAGCAAGACAGCTGTGAAGGGAGTTTCACCCCATTTTCATGATCTTTTCCACGACAGTTGCGAAGCGAAACACAATGGTTGTTAAGTGAATTGTGCTGTCAGGGCTCCAACAATACACCCCCATTCAAATCATAAGTCTCTAGCCGCGTCTCTCAAGAGTAAAAAATATTGATTTATTAGGAGTTGACATGTCAGCGTTACCTGGGTGCAGCCAACACTAAGACACATTATTAATTTCCCCCTTGACCCTGGTCTTCCCCCCACCCCCTGGATGTATATTCTCCAATGGGACACATCCATAGCCTAGAGTCATCAATCAGGCTCTCCAGTAATAATCTTGCGCGCCAACAGCTTCAGCTGCCTAGCAATTATCTGGAGCATTTAAGGAATGCACTGGTTTCCCCAATCCCTTTCTGATGGCAACTAAAAAGACCAAAGGAATAGTATTTTAGTTGACATGTGCAGTCATTAAACAAATCTGGCTCCCCCCCCCATTAACTTTGCTCGTTATGAGTTATAAATATCGACCACGTGATCTCAAGATACAACAACCATCATAAATACATAAATACAAAAGCATTGCAATATTGATCACGTGACCATGTTGCAATGGTCCTCAGGAGTGGCATTCAAATTGGTTAACAACCAGTTCTATGGGCGTGGCTAGGTGACTGGGTGGGTGTGGTTTTTTTGCAGCAAATGCCCTCCCCCCCCCCTGTGCTCCATTTTTGGGCCTCCTGGGCCTCAGGGAAGCCTCCTGGGTGAAGCAGTAAGACAGGGAGGGGGATCCTGAAACAGCTGATCGTTCTCTATTTCCTTCCTCTTCTTCCTTCCTTCCTTCCTTCCTTCCTCCCTCCCTCCCTCCCTCCCTCCCTCCCTGCGAAAGCAGTAAGACAGTGAGGGGGATCTCAGCACAGCTGATTGTCGGAACAGCCGATCGTCCTCTCCTTCCTTCCTTCCTCTTCTCCTTCCTTCTTTACTCCTTTCCTTCCCTCCTCCTCCTCTTCTTCCTTCTCTCCTTCCTTCTTCCTGGGTGAAGCAGTAAGACAGAGAGCGAGATCCCGGCACAGCTGATTGTCGGAACAGCTAATCCTTCCTCCTCTCCTTCCTTCTTTCCTTCCTTCCTCCTGGGAGAATATATCTATTCCACAAGCTTCTCGTATTGCTTTATATACACATCTAATCCCTTTTAAATTGTTTTATTTTATTTTATTTTATTTATTTGATTTGTCGATCAGTTACAAGGTAACAGGTATTAGTATAAACATAGTTATGAAGACATGAAATGGATACATATAAGAAAAAGAAACAATAGGACAGGGACGGTGGGCACGTTGGTGCGCTTATACACGCCCCCTGCAGACCTCTTAGGAAAGAGGTGAGGTCAACAGTAGACAGTCTAAGGTTAAAGTTTTGGGGGTTTGGGGAAGAAACCACAGAGTCAGGTAGGGTATTCCAGACATTGACCACTCTGTTGCTGAAGTCGTCTTTCCTGCAATCAAGTTTGGTGTGATTAACCTTGAGTTTGTATCTATTGTTTGCTCTTGTGTTGTTATGGTTGAAGCTGAAGTATTCATTGACAGGTAGGACATTGCAATGTATGATTTTATATACCATACTTAGACTGGAGCAAAGGCGGCATAGTTCTAGCCATTCTTCTAACCATTGGTAAAACAAGTCTCATACTATGTAATATTCAGATTCTTCTTTTTCTTCAATTCCCAATGTTAATCTATTCATTTCTGCACATTCAACTATTTAGTGCCATTGTAACTTGGGACAGTCACTAAATGAACTATTGTAAGTTGAGAACTCTCCGTCTTTGGAAAGTTTATTCTTGCTGGCCGGAAGGAAAACAAAATGCAGCTCTCTGCCACCAGAGGGCAGCACTTGTTCGAGAGATCTTTTGGGGACCAGCTCTTACCTGTATCTCAGGTGGCTTCAGACCGAGGAGTTTGCTGATGCAGATTGACTTTAAAAAAAGACATGAAAAGCCAGTGTTGAGTCTTAGAAATCCCACAGGTAGGCTTTCTTTAACAGGATCTCCCAAAGGTGCCTTTTATTTTTCAAAAGGCACATGGACTTTCTTGTTTTTTCTTTGAAGACATTTTGCTCCTCATCCCAGAAGCTTCTTCAGCTCCGACTGGATGGTGGGGAACGGAAGGATTTCTACTCCTTGCGGACAGCTGGTCATTTGCATCCTTTTTAGAGAGTCATTCGGGCCACTTGGAGGTTTGTCTGTGTCCTCAGTCGTCCCAGAGGCAACTGGGCCTTCTAGGTTTTCTTTGAAAATAGACCGAATATCTCCACGGTTATTTAGTTATGGACTTTTGGGATGAACGTCCTTCGAACAGTGCAGGAGTATCAAACGGATTTCCAGAAAAAAAAATGGCAGACTTTAGGGACCATTTGGGCTTGAGTTTGAGATACAGAGGCAGCACAGGCTCGGCCCCAACAGCCTGCACCTGGGTTCAACAGGGAAGGGACACAGGGAATAAAGAACCCTGCAGAAAACACAGCTGCACAACACGGTCCTTTCAGCAGTTCCAAGGAATCTCCACACCCCTTTGCAGCACTCAGGTGACCTTGAGGACGCAGACAAACCTCCAGGTGGCCTCAACGGCTCCTTAAAAAGGATGCCAATGACCAGCTTTGTCCGCAAGGAGTATAAATCCTTCCGTTCCATCCGGTCAGAGCCGAAGAAGCTTCTTGGATGAGAAGGGAAATGTCTTCCAAGAACAAAAAAAGAAAGTCCAGTTGCCTCTTGCAAAAGCACCTGTGGGACAACTGAAGACACCGACAAACCTCCCAAGTGGCCTCAACACCTCTGAAAGAATGCAAAGGACCAGCGGTCATTAAGCGTGTTTGCCATCATTTGCTAAAGAGCTGAAACTTCACTCCAGGAATAAGGTTGAATTAATAAAGTCTTTTGTTCGATCCAGATGTTCAATTGAAACAACTGGGTCAGTCAAGGAGGAACATTTAAGAAAAAAATATTTTTTTTGCCAAGCTGAGCTCCTGTTTTTTGACTTGTCCTATTTCCTTCTTCCTCGCCCCCCTTTTCTTTTAATGCTCTGAAAAAAAAGAAAGTTGAAAGATTTGGATGGCAAACCTCGGGGAGGAGGAGCTGCTTCCAGGAAGGATTAGAAAGGGAAGAAGCGAGGCTGGCACGGCGAGATAAAAGCTTAGCAAAGTCTGTCATTTTTCTTTTCAGCTCCGACGTTTGGAAGGCACGAAAGGGGTCGAAACAAAATTCATTAGGCGGAATGGAAATGGAAATTTCAAGAGTATTTCCCAAAATCTTGTTTGGTCTTTTTCGGTGGATAGAGCTATGCTTTTTAAGATCAAAGCAAAAGTAGAATTATTTTTTTTAAAAAAAAAAAACAGGATACAGCTACTCCTCGGCTTACGACCACAATGGAGCCCCAAATTTCCGTTGCTAAGTGAGGCAGTGTTAAGGGAGTTCTGTCCCATTTTACGACCTTTCTGGCCGCAGTTGTAAAGCTGTGGTGGTGAAGTTAGTAACCTGGTTGTTAAGTAAATCTGGCTCCCCCCGCTTTGACTTTGGTTTTTAGAACCCAGGACGTAGCAACAGTCATAAGTATGAATCGGTTGCCGAGCTTTCAAATTGTGATCACGTGACCATTGGGGGGATGCCTCAACGGATGTAAGTGTGAGAAATGGTTGTAAGTCCCTTTTTTCCCCGCTGAGGTTGTAACTTTGGTTACTAAACGAACTGTCATAAGTCGAGAACTAGCTCTATCCATAGACTTCCTTCAATGGCAAATCATCATTTGAAACCTTTCCCATCCAGAGATGGGAGTAGAAGGTCTTTGCTTGGTTAATTCGAGAGGCAGTGCAGCGCGCCCTAGTGGTTAAGGCAGCAGGCTCCAAAGAAAAGCAGGAGACCGTGAGTTCTAGTTCTGCCCTAGACATGAAAGTCAGCAGGGTGATTGTGAGCCAATCTCCAGGAGAGAATGAGTTCTAGTCCCACTGTAGACGTGAAAGCCAAGTGGCTGGCTTTGGCCCAATTACCAGGAGATGGTGAGTTCTAGTTCTGCCTTAGGAATGAATGCCAACTGAGTGACTTGGGGCCAAAACACTAGGAGATGGTGAGTTCTAGTCCCACTTTAAGAATGATATCCAACTGAGTGACTTTGGGTCAATCACCAGGAGATGGTGAATTCTAGTTCTGCCTTAGGAATGAAAGCTGGCTGGGTGACTTTGAGCCAATGAGCAGGAGACATTGGGTTCTAGTTCCACCTTAGTTATGAAAGCCCTCTGGGTGAATTTGGGCCAATCACCAGGAGACTGGGAGTTCTAGTCCCACCTTTGTCATGAAAGACATCTGGGTGACTTTGGGCCAATCACTAGGAGAACGGAAGTTCTAATCCCACCTTAGGCATAAAAGCCCGCTGGGTGACTTTGGTCCAATCACACTCTCTCAGCCCAACCACACCTCACAAGGTTGTACTGTGGAAAATGGGGAAGAAGGAGCGGTTAGGTACGTTCGCCCCTTTGAATTGTTCACAAGAACAATAAAGGCCAGATAGAAATAAAATTATTAAGTGTTTCTCAAACTCAGCCACTGGAAGATGGAATTCTGGGAGTTGAAGTCCACCCGTCTTCCACTGGCCGAGATTGAGAAACACCGAAATTGTCAACTCGTAAAGCATTCCAATGTTGAGTTGCCCTAATCAGGGAGAGAAAAACTCAGAAGTACATTCCACGCTTATCTTACAAAGATTGTAGCTAGGCTACCGGATCTCGAAAATTCTTCATTGGAAAATGTGATTGATGACGCCTAACCTGTGAACGTTCTTTGTTGGAGAATCTGATTGAGGACATGCCCAGCAGGGTCACAGGTGACTGTAAATCCTGTGTGTCAGAGTTGGCTTCAACTGGGATAATGCCAGACATATCCGAATAAATCTTTTGGATTCTTGGCTCGAGTCTCCCAATTGAATTAGGGCAATCGCTGGAACCCTGACAGAAATAATAAATCCACACCACCTCAAACTCCACCTGTCCAACACCGACCCTGATTTTTCTCCCTGTCTTAGGATTGTGAGCGTGAAGGAGACGCGTCTGACCACGTTGGTGGCCAACTCCCTGGTCGGCCTTTCTCTCCTGCTGCTCCCTTTCCCTCTCCAGCTCATCCCGAAGCCCGTCCTGTATGGACTCTTCCTCTACATCGCCCTGACCTCCATCGATGGGAACCAGCTGTTCGAGAGGGTGGCCCTTTTGCTCAAGGAGCAGGTAAAACTTCCAACGGGGTGCGGAGCGGCCGGTTAGGCCCTGCAGAGCGACGGCCGATTCATCCTCCCAAGTTGGTGGCGTCACCTTGCAAAACACAGCTGTGGTGTCCCCTCGGATTGCTCTCTATGATCAGTTTTCCTTGCTCACAGACCCTGCTGGCGGCCTTGAGTGTCCTGCCAGGGGGTTTGCTAGGTAGAGTTAGTCCTCGGTTTAACGACAGTTTGTTTAGTGACCATTCGGAGCGACAACGGCGCTCAAAAACGTGACCAGTTTTTGACACTTGCTACATGACCGTTGGAGCCTCCCTCTGGTCAAAATTTAGCTGCTTGGCAAGCGATTCGAACAACCGCAGGGATTAACTTAACTGTAGGAAAAGCAAGCTTGTAAAATGAGGCAAAACTCACTGAACTGTCTCGCTTAGCAACAAAAAATGTTGGGCTCAATTGTGAAAATAAGTTGAGGGCTAGCAATAGCACTTAGACTGATATGCCCCTCAACAATCTGGGTCCTCATTTTACCCACCTCGGAAGGACGGAAGGCTGAGTCAACCTTGAGCCGGTCAGGATCGAACCGCTGGCAGTGGGCAATATTAGCCTGCCATATTGCATTTGAAGGGATGCTTCAGTGGCTGAGACACTGAGCTTGTCGATCAGAAAGGTCAGCAGTTCGGCGGTTCGAATCCCGAGGGCCGCGTAACGGAGGGAGCTTCCGTTCCTTGTCCTATCACAGTGGTGGCTACCTTTGGGGGCTTCTGTGCCAAAAATTGTGTGCGCGCTTGCATGCCAGTACCCAGAAGGCGATGCGCGCCCCCCCCCCCCACCGACATCCCCTACGCATGCACACGCAATACCCACCCACCCCCTTGCCATCCCCTTACCTGCACTGCGCCTCACAGCTGATTTTTGGCCGGTTTGAGGCCTTTTTCGGGCCCCCCAAAAGGCTTGAGGAAGGCTTCTGCAGGCTTTGCAGGCCGAAAACTAGGCCCGTTTCATCACTTCCGGTATTTTCGGAAAAACAGAAAGTGATGAAACAGGCCTAGTTTTCGGCCTGCAAAGTCTGCAGAAGCCTGCAGGGGCTTTCCTCAAGCCTTTGGGAGGCTGAAGAGGCCTCAAACCAGCCAAAAAATCAACGGTGAGGCGCGCACATGCGCAGTGAGGTAAATTTGCTTGCAGCTCGCGTGCCGGCACAAATGGCTCTGCCCTCACGGTCCAAGCAGTTCGCCATCCTAGCAGTTCGAAAGCACGTAAAAAAATGCAAGTAGAAAAATAGGGACCCCTTTGGTGGGAAGGTAACGGCGTTCTGTGCGCCTTTGAAGGCATTTTGTCTTGCCGGCCACATGACCACGGAGACGTCTCCGGACAGCGCTGGCTCTTCTTCGGCTTTGTGATGGAGATGAGCACGCATGTGCCAGGGGAACCTTTACCAGATACTGGTACATGACTCAGACACTACCTGTATCTCTGTTGGGTGCTGACTCTTTCCTTCCTTCCAGACGGCCTACCCTCCAACGCACTACATCCGCCGAGTGCCCCAAAGGAAGATCCACTATTTCACCGGCCTGCAGGTCGTCCAGCTCCTGATCCTCTGCAGCTTTGGGATGTCTCCTCTGCCCTACATGAAGATGATTTTCCCGCTCATTATGATTGGAATGATCCCGATCAGGTGAGATCTTGGCCGTGGCTTCCTTTGCGGAGATTGCTTTCAACCGGATAGGGTGGAAATACAGGGAGTCCTCACTTAATGACCCGTCTCTTAGCGTCTGTTCACAGAGTTATGCTACTTACGATCTGGGTTTGAAGTTCCTATGACTTCTCTTGTTCTCACCAAGGCTTCCTAGACTGTACGCACACGCTTATTTTAAAAAACAAGACTTGGTTTATTGCAACGCTGGGAATTGTCGTCATTCCCAGCTGGTAATGAATCTCAAACAGTCCCTCGAGATCAGCACCCACCTTTCTTTTCTGTGAAGTGCTGCCAAAACCAGAAGTATCAAATGAACTAGAAAAAAAACCCAACCGAAGCACAAAAAAAACCCAACCGAAGCACAAAGAGCTTCAAGGATGAATCTGAACCGATCGAATGACTTTGCTTCCTGCAAAGGTTTCGTCATCTTGGCCTGACTTTTATGCCTTTTGGGAGGAGCCATCATCTCCCAGCCTTACTCCCGAGTTGTCCCTTTTGTCTCGTCTGCTCTCACCTTCTAGCAGCTCTGCGCATACATGCACTGGGAACAGGCTCCCCTTGTTCCTCTTCCTCACTGCTGCCAGGCTCCAGAGGCTCCGGAGGCAGCACCCCACTCCGAGATGGTCCTGGCCCCATCCCTGAATCAGACGCAGGACCCTCGTCTGCGTCCTCCCCAGACTCCCAGACCCCATTCTTCCTCACTGTCTGATTCCGCTGCCGTCCACCCCACCTGCCAGTGAACCACAACACTCCCCTTCAGGTCACATGTTCACATTTCAGACATTCTGCAGTCAGCCCAGTGGTGGGCTTGAAAAAGGTTTTCCTACCAGTCCAGTGTGAGTGTGTGCTTTGCGTGCATGCACGCCGCGTTTGCAACTCCCCTTCTGCTGCAAGCCCTGTGTGTAAAACAGCTCCCGCGCGTTAATCAGCTATGCCGCGCAAAGCAGCTGAGGTTGAAAAGCAGGAAATAAGGATCAGTAGAGCCGGGTCGGGTGGGAGGGCCCAGCAGCTGATCATTGGAGCCGGCCGGTTCGCTCACAAATGATCCTCGAAGCTACCGGTCCAGCTGAACCGTGCCGAACCAGTAGAATACCACGGCTGAGTCAGCCCCACTTACAACTTTTTGTGGCACGATCCCACACTCACATGATCACAATTTACAACTTTTTATGACCTGAAGCCAGGTTTTACTTCAGTGGCTTCACTTAATGACCGTAGTGTTCGTTTTACAACCGCTGCCAAAAAAAAAAAAAAAAGGTCCTAAAACCACATCCATCATGATGGCCCACTTAAAATGACCGAGCTCATTGATTACAATCATAAATCGAGGACTATCTACGGGGATTAAAAGTTTCCTCAAATCGTCTGGCAAAACCTCTTTAACAACGTGCTGTTTCTTCTCTTCTTCTCGCTCAGATACAACCTGCTCCCCAGCATCATTGAAGCAAAATATTTAGACGCCATGGACGCCGAACACTAACCACACAAGAATCTTCATCCCGGCGGCGTTTCGTCCCTTGTTTTGGCCTTCCGGAACGGATAAGGGAGCCGCCCGTGCGACCGACCGACCAACCGACCGACCGGCTCGTTTGGACGTTGCCTTGTTTCTGCAACCGCGGGGCAGAAACCTGCGACCTTCCTTTTAGTACTGCACTATAAACTCCCACCGAAAGTCCTGACCCCCGTCGACCGACCAAGTTGTCTCCCCTCCCTCCCTCCCCGTTTCAGGGTGTGAGGAGGGAGGGGGGGTGAAAACACGACGCAAGAGGCACGAGCAAGGAGACCTCTCCCCTCTTTTATAGACGGATCACTCGATGACGCTCCGGATCCCTTTTTCGTTGGGACGTGAATTCTATGCAAATTTCGGGAGCTTCGTTGTCCGGCCCTTTGTGGTCCTTGAACGCCCGTCATCTTCTGGATGAGACGTACCCCGTTGTCCCATCCCCCCAAACAAGGAGTTTGCTGGAGACACCAAGGCGTCCTCCCCGTTGGGTTTTTCGGCCTCCATGTTCCATCGGGGTCGTCTTCGCCCACGGCGAGGGCCACGGAAGCGCGTTCCGGCGTAGCGGCGGAACCCAGCCAAAGAACACCCGTGACTGTTTTGGACATTGCTTCCCGGTCGACCACAGTGTGGCTTGGCCTGCTGGCTTCCCCCAGCAGCCTCTCCTCCGACGTGCATTATGACTTTGATCCTCCCTTCTCTTGGCCCGGGTATCAAGTGCTACCTTCCCTTTGTACATAAATATACATAGCGGGAATCTAAATTTTCTGTATATATTTTGCATATCAATACTGTGTTCCCTGGATATCTGGAGGCCTGTCCTTTCCAGAGACGGGGAGGATTTTTGTGCAATCAGTGTTAACTCGTACTGTAAGCGCTCCTCCTTTGTTATTTTCTCTTCCTCCCCCCCCTCCCAATTTTGCTTATTTTTTTTAATTCTTACAGACTGCTAATTTGTGTTATTATTATTATTTTTTCCCCCCTTGTTTACATGGATCGCTGACATGATTTTTTGGGGTGGGTGAGTGGGTTGGTTCTGGCTTTTTAATTCCCATCGCTCGGGATTGCTGCTGGCGTTGGAGAGTGGGGGGGTGGGAGTTTGGGGTGGGGTATCCGATCGGCTTGGGCCGGCTGTTCACAGCTTGGTGCCTTTCCAGTGGGTTGGTGGGAGAGGAGGCTTCGATTCCCATCGTCCACCATTAGCCCAGGAGAATGGGAGCTTTAGCCCAAGACCTTCCAAAGAAGTCTTTTTTAATTCCTAGAAAAGTTACCAAAGGTTTGATCTCGTTGCTTTTCTTTTCTTTTTTCTTTTTCCCCTTTGTAATTTCTATCACGGGCTTCCCAGTTTTGGGTTTTCTTTTTCCTTCCCTCCCCACAAAATCGTATTTCTGGAATGACGTTCGAAGTTTGTAATTTTCTCCGGATTATCACTTGTTTTCTGCATTTGGGGCTGTTTTGTCCCCTTTGGACCCTCCTTCAGAGGCCTGCAAAAAGACGAAAAGAAAAAGAAAGAAAACACATGTTATATTTGAGATCGGAGTCTTCGTTTTTCTTTTTTCTTTTTCCCTTTCTCGCTCTTCCTTTTTGTGGGATGTTAGAAATCGCCCGCGAGGCCTGGAGCCAGAGGGAGGGAGGGAGAGAGAGGGAGGGTGAGAGAGTCCTAAAATGTTAGAACATCAAGTAAGAGAATTGCAAGGGGCTTTGGAGGTCTTCTAGTCCACCCCCTGATCAAGCAGGAGACGCTGCTTATGAAAAGGGAGATTGGGAGGAAGATTAAGATCTTTGTTCTCAAGGACAATCCCTAGTTTATCATGTCTCTAGCCCAAGGGTCTTCCAACTTGGCTACTTTAAGACTTGTGGATTTCGACTCCCAGGATTCCTGAGCTAACATGACTGGAGGAGGAATTCTGGGAGTTGAAGTCCACAAATCTTAAAGCTGCCAGGTTTGAAGACACCTGAATTCTATCATCTGTCTGTCTGTCTGTCTTATCTATCGTCTTCTCATCCATCCATCTCCTTCCATCCGTCATCTATCTATCACAAGGGTCTTCCAACTTGGCAGGTTTAAGTCTTGTGGACTTCAACTCCCAGAATTCCTGGAGCTAACAGGACTGGAGGAGGAATTCTGGGAGTCAAAGTCCACAAGTCTTAAAGCTGTCAAGTTTGAAGACCCCTGATCTAGATCTTTATATATCTATGTCACCCATCCTCTGTCTGTTTATCATCCAGCTAGCCATCTAGCCATTCTCTCTCTCTCTCTCTCTCTCTCTCTCTCCATCTATCCATTTATCTATCTATCTATCCATCTATCTATCTATCCTATCAATCATGTATTCCTCCCTCTCCCTTTCATCTGGCTAGCCCAAGGGTCTTCCAACTTGGCAAGTTTAAGTCTTGTGGACTTCAACTCCCAGAATTCCTGGAGCTAACAGGACTGGAGGAGGAATTCGGGGAGTCGAAGTCCACACGTCTTAAAGCTGTCAAGTTTGAAGACCCCTGAATTCTACCATCTATCTGTCTGTCTGTCATCTCCCCATCATCCATCCATCTATCCATCCATCTATCATCTATCACAAAGGACTTCAAATTTGACAGCTTTAAGACGTTGTGGACTTCACCTCACAGAATTCCTGAGCTAACATGACTGCAGGAGGAATTCTGGGAGCTGAAGTCCACAATGTCTTAAAGCTGTCAAGTTTGAAGGCCCCTGAATTCTATCATTTCTGTCTGTCTGTCTATTGTCTCCCCATCCATCCAGCTCTATCTATCTGTCTGTCTGTCTGTCTGTCTATTTTATCCATCCATCCATCATCTATCACAAGGGCATTCAAACTTCGTCAGTTTCAGACTTGTGGACTTCAACTCCCAGAATTCCTGAGCTAACGTGACTGGAGGAGGAATTCTGGGAGCTGAAGTCCACAACGTCTTAAAGCTGTCATGTTTGAAGCCCCCTGTCTTAGGTTAACAAAGAGAAGGACTAACAGTTACACGATAGCATCTTCCAACATTTGAGGCGCTGCCACAGAGAGAAGGAAGGGGATCAATCTCTTCTCCAAAGTCCCCGAAGGCCAGAGAAGGAACAATGGATGGAAACTGAACAAGGAGAGATTCAACCCGGAAACAAGGAGAAATTTTCTGAACAATCAGCCCATGGAACAGGAATTGCCTTCAGAAGTGGTGGGAGCTTCATCCCTGGAGGGTTTCAAGAAGAGACTGAGCTGCCCTCTGTCAGAAATGGTGTAGGGTCTGCTTGGGCAGGGGGGTTGGACTAGATGACCTACAAGGTCCCTTCCAACTCTGCTTAGAAGCAATGGATGGAAACTAACCCAAAGAGAGAAGCAATCTAAAACTAAGGAGAAATTTCCTGATAGGTAGGAACAATCAATCCGTGGAACCGCTTGCCACTAGAAGTTGTAAATGCTCCAAAAGTGGAAGTTTTTAAGAAGGGATTGGATAACCACTTGTCTGGAATGCTACAGCCACAACATACGACCACAACTGAGCCCAGCACTTCTACTATTAAGCGAGACATTTGTGAGTGAGTTTTGCCCCCGTTTTATGACCTTCCTTGCCATGATAGTTAAGTGAATCAGTGCAGTTGTTAAGTTGGTAACGCGGTTATTAAATGAATTCTGACTTCCCCACGGACTTTGCTTGTCAGGAGGTTGGCAAGCAGGATAACAGATAACAGATAATCAAAGTTGGAAGGGATATTGTGGGTCATCTAGTCCAACCCCCGCCCAAGCGGGAGACCCTACACCATGTCTGACAGGTGGAGACAGGAGAGCAGCCTTCCAATATTTGAGGGGCTGCCATAGAGAGGAGGAGGAAGGGGTCAAGCTGTTCTCCAAGGCACCCGAAGGCCAGACAAGGAATAAAGGATGGAAACTGAGCAAGGAGAGATTCAACCTGGAAATAAGGAGAAACTTTCTGACAGGGAGAACAATCCACCCATGGAACAGAAGTTGCCTCTGGAAGTTGTGGGAGCATCATCACTTGAGACTTTCAAGAAGAGACTGGACTCCCATCTGTCAGAAATTGGACTGCCATCTGTCAGAAGAGATTGGACTGCCATCTGACTGCCATCTGTGTAGGCTGTCCTGTTTGGGCGGGGGGGGGATTAGTCTAGATGACCTCCAAGGTCCCTTCCAGCTCTGTTAACCTGTACCTACCTACGTCCTCTCTTCTAGTATGTCTTTGAAGATCCTGCTGGTTTGCAATAAAGGGCTTTCCTTGCCTTCCCCTCCACCGAACACAATATTTTTGGGTGAATTTTAGATGCGTTTCCTCCTTTCCTCCTCTCTCCAAAGGTGGAATGAAGCTGCCACCTACTGTTTGCAGGGAGCAAAATGCAGTCTTGGCAAAAGTACGTAGAACGTACAAAAATAGGGTTGGAAAGGGACCTTGGAGGTCTTCTAGTCCAGCCCCCTGCTCAAGCAGGAGATCAGAGGTCCCCAAGCTTGTCCACTTTACGACTTGTGGACTTCAACTCCCAGAATTCTCCAGCCAGCAAAACCTCACTTAACGACCGTGTGACTAACGTGGCTGGAGAATTCTGGGAGTTGAAGTCCACAAGTCTTAAAGTGGCCAAGTTTGGGGACCTCTGATTTATGCACAGTTTGCTTTTTTTAAGAGGCGTTTCAGAGCTTCTGTTGCATCATCGCCTTCCGCCATCTTGCCTTTTTGGAACATCCCCAGGTTGCGAGAGCAAACCAGCTTCAGAAACAGAAGAGAGCTGGAAGGGACCTTGGAGGTCTTTTAGTCCAGCCCCCTGCTCAAGCAGGAGATCCTATGCCCGTGATGGCGAACCTATGCCACACGTTTCAGAAGTGGCACGCAGAGTCATTTCCCCCGGCACGCGAGAGCTTGCCCTGAAGAGCCCCACTGCACGAGCGCACACCGCCATCCGACAGCTGATTGTCGAGTATCTGGCATGCATGTGTGTGGGAGACATGCGCGCAGTATTATGATATGTACAGAATAACCCTTGAGTAACAAGGATATGCACATGGAAACATTTATGAGAATAGTTATGAATAATTATCCAGCCATACACTGCATTGAGTTAAAGTTTACTTTAAGAAATAGCACAGTCCAATAAACGATCCAGGTCATATACGGTTAACAGTCCAAAGAATATCCAACTACAAAGTCTTCTTACCAGTTGCCTTTGTCATTTACAGTAAACAAAGATATCACAGTATAAGCAAAGCCTAAATAACAGGGAACCTTAGATAGCAACAGAATGTCAGAGAGAGAGAATGTCAGAGAGTGCAAGCTATGATCTCTAGCTCCCTCTTATGGTAATTTGCAATATAATCAACCAATCGGAATAGAGTATAAATCAATACAGTGATTTTGTCTTAAAGCTACAAAACATACATTGTTGGTTTATATATTGCCAACCCAACTAATTGGTGGACAGATTCCTAACAGCCAGCATGCATTGCCTTCTGGGTGCTGGCATGCAAGCGTGAGCACACGAGCGCGTGTGCGATTATTGGCACAGGAGCCGAAAAAGGTTTGCCACCACTGTCCACTCTTCTTAAAGAACCTCCAGTGCAGGGGTGGGATTCAAATATTTTAACAACCGGTTCTGTGAACGCGGTTTAGGTGGTGGGTGTGGCTTGGTGGTCATGTGTCTGGGTGGGTGTGGCTTAGTGGTGATGTTATTGGCTGGGTGTGGCCTACTCAATATCACTCACATCAAGGCACGCATCTCCTCGCCTGGCCTCTCGTGACTGTGGGGATGCTGCAATAGTCGTAAGTGTGAAAAATGGTCATAAGTCACTTTTTCCAGTGCCATTGT